AATTTAGGGCGATTGATTATGAATGTCGAATGATGATTGTTAGTTGCTGATGATGATTGATGATGATAATTTGATGTAGGGCGAGACCTCCGGCTCCACGTGGTGGACGTGGTGGACGAGGTGCACCATCCGCTGAGACTGCTTCTCGTGGTGGGAGACCTCCGGCCCCTCGAGGTCGTGGTGGTGCGGGTGCCTCAGCCCCTCCTACTCAGAATCGGGGTCGTGGTGGACGTACAGGGAGTCGGCCTGTTCAGTCTGCTGAACCGTCGGCATCGGCATCGGCATCAATTGCATCGACTCCCGCCCATGCCGGTAGTGGAAGTACACCTGCTACTGAGCCTCCTTCAGCAGAAACGGTTAATCCGGCTCCAAATAAAGCTCCTGTAGATCCCTTCAATCTAGGGAAATGGTTGGAGACAGCAGGTACAGCTAATTGCTGGAAGGACTTTACGAGGGTGGCGGAAAATGAATATCCGTTTGGAGAGTGCAAGCATTGTCACACTAGGATCAAAGCACATCCATCCAAGAACGGCACTTCTGCAATGAATACCCATCGGCTCAAATGTTTGGCTAAGGTTGCAGCATCCAAGGATCAGACTGTTCTGAACTTGCAGGCCGCAGATGGTAGTCAAGTAAGTGCTTTATGGAAATTTGATCAAGCAAAAGCAAGATATTCATTAGCCATGATGATTATAATGGATGAGTTGTCTTTTCGCTTTGTGGAAAGAGACGGGTTTAAGCAGTTTATGCATACGGTTCAGCCACTCTTTAAGATACCTGGGAGGAGAGGTATAAGAGATGATTGCTTTCATATATTCTTGGAGAAAAAGATGAATTTGATAGAGTTTTTTGAATCAAAGAGCAAAGGCAGAGTTTCAATCACCACAGACACGTGGACTTCTGACAACAACAAAAATTTCATGTGTGTGACTGCTCACTTTGTTGGAGGTGATTGGAAGTTGCAGAAGAAGGTGATCTCCTTTGTTCCGATCACAAGTCATACAGGAAATGATATTGCAGAGAAGCTTGCAGAAATTCTTGAAGAATGGAAGGTGAAGAATTTGTTCTGCATGACCATGGACAATGCATCTACAAATGATATTGTGAGTGATTGCATGAGAAGGAAATTAAAGGTGTGGGGGTGTGATTTGATGGATGGGAAGTATCTGCAGTTTCGATGTGTCGCACACATCATTAATCTGGTAGTGCAGGATGGATTGAAAGTAATCGGAGGAGCTGTGGATAGAATTCGGGACTGTGTGAAATGGGTGAGGTCATCGCCAGCTAGGTTGGCAAGGTTCAAGACTGGTATGCAATTTCTGGAGTTGGATTCTACCAAATTGGTGTGTTTGGATGTACCGACCAGGTGGAACTCCACCTATATCATGTTAGAAGCAGCAGAAAGGTTTGGTGGAGTGTTTACCACTTTGTATACAAGTATACATGACCATTCCTTCAGGGATTATATTGACGCAAGAGGTGGTCTTCCAACTGAACATGATTGGAGTCTGATTAGAAAGTTGATGAAGTATCTGAAGGTCTTTAATGACTTTACCCTCCTAGTCTCAGGTAAGTGAAATTTGACAATTTGTTTATTTTATTTTGAACATTTGACAATTTTGGTTTGTTTAAGTCTAATTTCCTGTATTCTATTCTCATTTGTACAGGAACTAAATATGTGACTATCCATCTTTTCTTCAAGAAACTTGTTCCAATTTATGACATCATTCAAGAATTGAAGAATGATCCGCGTGAAGAGCTCCAAAGGATGGCAGAAAAGGTTGAAGAAAAGGTACGAAAATATTGGTTTGACACACCTATCATGAATGAGGAGAATCATCGGGTGAATAATTTAATCTATATAGCATGTGTGCTTGATCCTAGAAGTAAACTTGATCTTGTGTCTGAAGTGTTGATAATGATTTATGGAAGTATCAAAGGAGGGGAAATTCAGACTAGGATTAAAAGGGAGATGCGGCAGATGTTTGACATTTATAAGAGGAAGTATGGATCAGAGTTAGCATCTCAGGCTACCACTGATGATAACATTGTTGATGAGGGTATTGTTGATGGTGCTGGTGATCGGATTAAGTTATTGGAGGAGAGGCTTAGAAAGAGAAAAAGGGAAGCACTTCTGCTGGAAACAGGAGGTAGCTCTGCTGAGCTTGACATTTATTTGAAATGTCAAACCGATGGTATCAATGAAGAAAGTGATGATGCAAAGTTTGACATTTTGGATTGGTGGTCTCTACACTCTGGAATCTATCCGATTGTTGCTGAGATGGCTAAGGATGTCCTAGCTGTTCCTATCTCTTCTGTTGCCTCAGAGGCAACATTCAGTTGTGGCGGGCGGATTCTCAGTCCATTCAGGTCCTCTTTGAGCGACCTAATGGTGGAGGCATTGATTTGTGCCGAGGATTGGATAAGGTATCCCGGATCCAGGGAGATCGACGACAAGGAAGATGATGAAGAGAATTTGACTTTGGAAAGTAGTGAGTTTCTCAAACTCTCTTATTGTTCAGGTTTTTGTCTTCTTTTCACCTGATTCAATGTACTAACACTTTGGAAAGTACTAACACTTTGTTTTCCTTTTTTTTCTTACTCAGTTAATGTCACTTTCCAAACTAGAATGGAAAGTGCAACGAATACTGGCAATGTTGGCAATACAGATGCAAGCCTCAACATTCCAGTGGAGAATGAGCAGGATGGTGAAGAAGATGCACCGGAGGAAGAGTATGAGCAGGATGGATATGACGATTATGGTCATGACTTGAGGGACGTATTGAAGGAACAGGGTTATGCAGATGTTGGTTCTTCTAAGGCCGGTGATAAGTGATGATAGATTGTTTATGATGTGTTGTTGATTTGTTGTTATCTAGTGGACTTATTGTGATTTGTGGAGTTTATGTTGCTGAATTAATGAATATGAGACATTAAATTGCTAATTTAGATGTATTTTCGGTGCAAAACGAATTGAAATGTAGGTTTGAGATTTTAATTTTAGGCCATTTTAGTTTTTTTCCCTTGCTGTCCGATCGGTTTTGACCGGTTTAGGGTCGGTTTTCGGTCTTGGCGGTCGGTTTTTAGGTTCTGACGGTCGGTTTATTTCGGTTTCCAATCGGTTCATTCCGGTTTTCGGTCGGTTAGCCCATCAAACCGAACCGGCCTGCTCCTTTTCGGTGTGGACGGTTTAACCGGCCTTTAACCGAAACCGGCCGGTCGGTTTTCGGATAACCGAGTCGTCTGCTTCGGTCGGTGGCCGGTGGACACAGGTCAGGTCTCGGTTTAACCGAAAACCGAGATTTCGGTTTTCGGTTAAACCGAAACCGACCGAGTGACAGCCCTATAGGAAAGTAAGCAATTTGGGAATTGACCAACCACATTAGAGAAAGAAGAAATCCAGTGGTGGGCTGGGGCTACTGAGTCGGACATTTCAAAAGCAAGAAAACAGAGTAAGAACTAAGAAGTAGGGGATTTGAAGAGAGAACTATGTGGGGGTTGACTGTTTGACTGGGGATGGGATTTGGTGGGAATGAATTTATAATCAGGAAAGGTAAAGAAGACACGTGGGAGAGAGGAAGGAGAGAAGAAGGAAAGCCATATGGGTGGTAATTGCCTTATTGGGAGAGAAAATAAAGGAAAGACACCACACCATTATACATTTATACTTGCCTTGCCCTTTTTTTTTTTTGGTCTTTCTTTCAAACGGAACTGAAGAGGCAGAGGAAGAAGTAAGGGATTTAAAGAGGCGACGGGACGGAGGTGATGTCGAGTCGGAGGCAGAGACATGGACTATGGCCGGGATGAATCTGGCCGGCTTGGAGATGGCCGGCATGGCGGCGACAAAGATGCGGAGAGGACAGAGCGACAGCTGAGCTACGCTCGTCGGTGGCAGAGACAGCAGGGAAGAGTGAGAGAGAGAAAAAAAAAAGGTATTAAGGAAAGAGACAGAGGAAGAAGTATTTGGGTCAGTGGAATCAGACATGGTTTCAACAACAAGAAGAACGAGAATTGGAAGCAGGGGATATCAGAAGGAAAGGATCAAGATGCTGCTGAGTGTTCTGGTGATATGAAGAACTCAGGTTGATAATGAAGAACAGGGGAGTTTCTGAGCATCTACTTAAAAGGAAGAGAGAAACGTTTCTTACAAACGCTGTCGTTTATTATCTTTCTGTCATTGGTTACTTTAAGTATCAGTAGACGAATGTAATAGAGCCAGGTGTCGCAATTACTTTAAACTGGTTCTTAATTACTGTTACAACGGTATAAATGAGAAACCCAGGAAACTCAGATTTCTCTGAGGGTTTCCGATCCATTTCTGCCGAGCTCTATACTTTTCTACATGGTATCAGAGCCTCAGAGCTGACGTTCTCCTCCCGTTCGTGATGTCCGGCGTTACTGGCCAGCCTTTCACTCCTCCCGGCGGTCAGCGGTCGTCGCCTGGACTCCAATTCGGGACTTATGCTGAGACGTCCGATCCGGGTGGCAGAGGTGCGATCTCCTTTGGTAACCCCCTTTACCTCAATCCGAATGAGAATCTCTCTCAGTCGATCATTTCTGAGGTGCTTGATGGTACAAATTACTCGATGTGGAGTCGTTCCATGCGTCTGGCCTTGAAGACGAAACACAAACTTGGTTTCATTGATGGGTCGATCCCAGCTCCTGCTGTTACTGATGCCCAGTTTTATCTTTGGGATGGTTGCACTGAAGAGTATCCTCCAGTTCACTCCTGATTCTGGGTCTCAGTCTCCTGTTTCTCCACGGATCACTCCCAAGGCTTTCTCAGTTTCACAATTCTTACCAACGTTCCCCAATCATGCTGGTCAGTATATACTTTCTTCACATTCTGAACTGGATCAATCTATCTTGAATGCCATTTGGATTTTGGATACCGGGGCCTCTGATCACATCACATGTAGTCTTAGTCATTTCCTCGCTTATACTGCTGTGACTAATTCTTTTGTCTATCTCCCTAACAATTCCAAAGTCCCTGTTAGTCACACTGGTGTAGTCAAACTTCCTTCTGGTCTTCTCTTACAAAATGTGTTGTTGGTTCCTAGTTTCACCTTCAACTTGGTTTCGGTTAGTAAGTTGACTAGAGACTTACCCGTTTCGCTGCATTTTCATTCTGATGTATGTGAAATTCAGGACCAACAGACCCGGACGATCATTGGTTTGGCAAACCAAAGTAGAGGCCTCTATCATCTTTCCAACTCCACTTTCCCAGCACAGTCTTCTCTCAAATCCCAGGCTGCTACTCTTTACAACCTTCATCCTCAAGATGTCAACCTCTGGCATTGGCGTCTAGGACACCCTAGCAAAGATAGATATCAGTTACTTAAGTCTCAATACCCCATTGTTAACAGTGATCTAGTTTCTCATTGTGATGTATGTCATTTATCAAAACAAAAGCGACTTCCATTCCCTGTTAGTGAGAATTCTGCCCTTGCGGCATTTCATCTAATACATGTTGATATATGGGGCCCCCTATCTGTTCAATCCTATGATGGTTATTCGTATTTTTTGACTGTTGTGGACGACTACAGCAGGGCTGTTTGGCTCTTTCTTATGCATGATAAGGGAGAAACTCGTGACTTTCTCAAAGGGTTCTGCTGTCTGGTTGAGAAACAATTTGGTAAATCTGTCCGTATCATCCGTAGTGATCAAGGCAAAGAATTTCACATGGCTGACTTTTACAGGACTCATGGGATTGAGCATCAAACTTCTTGCGTTGAAACACCTGAACAGAATGGACGAGTTGAACGTAAACACCAACATATCTTAAATGTTGCTCGTGCTTTACGGTTTCAGTCTGGTATTCCTCTTCGCTTTTGGAGCGACTGTGTTCTTCATTCTGTGTTCTTAATCAACCGACTTCCTACTCCCATTTTGAACAACAAGTCTCCCTATGAATTGCTCTATCACAAATCCCCTGATCTCAGTTCCTTAAAGATTTTTGGTTGCCTTTGTTACGCATCCACTCTCACTCATGGTCGCACCAAATTCCAGGAACGTGCTTCTCAATGTATTTTCCTTGGCTTTCCAGCTGGTATCAAAGGGTTCAAGCTCTTTGATATGACTACCTCTCGTGTCTTTGTTTCTAGAAATGTCGTTTTCTACGAAACTATTCTTCCCTTTAAAGGTTCTACTGATCCTCCTCCTACCTCTACTTCCTTCTCTCCCACACTCCCCTTAGCTCCTGATTCCATCCCAATTCTTTCCCCCACATCCCCTTTACCTTCTTTCAATGAGGAATCAGGGCAGGCCATTACCTCATCTGATTCTGAGATGCCATCATCTTCCTCCCCAGGCACCAATATTGAACAGTTGGCCAACCTGGATTCTTATGAGGATGATGATATACCTGCATTCGACACACAAACAGATTATGAAGAAGCTGCCATGCCTGAGTTAGAGGTTCAAGCTGAACATGATGGCAGACCCATTCGTGCTAATCGTGGGAAGCTACCAGCACGACTGGCAGATTATTATGTTGGGAGTGTTTGCAGGTATCCAATGAGTGATTACCTATGTTATGATCAGTTGTCTCCCCATGATAGAGCTTATGCTTTAAGCATTGTATCTGTACCAGAACCTACCACATATCAAGAAGCTGTCAAATTTGAACATTGGCGACGAGCGATGAGAGAAGAACAAGACGCTTTGGAAGAGAACCATACCTGGGATGTTGTTCCACTGCCAAAGAACAAGAGAGCAATAGGAAATAAGTGGGTCTACAAAGACAAATACAGACCAGATGGAACTCTCGAAAGACACAAAGCGAGGTTAGTGGCTAAAGGATTCACTCAAGTATATGGAATTGATTTTTTGGATACATATTCACCTGTTGCCAAAATCAATTCTGTCAAAGCTCTTTTAGCTGTTGCAGCAAGTAAGGGTTGGTTTCTTGATCAAATGGATGTTTCTAACGCCTTCCTCCATGGCGATTTGGAGGAGGAAGTTTATATGGTGTTACCACCAGGTGATCCACGAGCTAACAGCCCTGAAAATCTGGTTTGTCGATTGAGAAAATCGTTGTATGGTCTAAAGCAGGCTAGTCGTCAATGGTTTGCAAAACTCACCTCTTCTCTGTTAAAGCATGGCTTCTCTCAATCTGTTTCAGATTACTCATTGTTCACCAAGTGGGTTCATGGGCGAATTGTGGTGTTGCTAGTATATGTCGATGACATAATACTAGGAGGAGATGACAGGGGAGATATCGAGGAAGTTAAGAAATTCCTTAGTCATAATTTTAAGATTAAGGATTTGGGATGTTTGAAGTTCTTCCTAGGGCTGGAAATCAGTAGGAACAGTGAGGGGATAGCTGTTTGCCAGCGCAAGTATTGCCTGGAACTTTTGAGAGATACTGGTTATCTCGAAGCCAAGCATTGTAAGTCTCCCTTGGATCCTAAAGTCAAGTTGCGTGCAAAACAAGGAAAGCCTCTTGATGATCCTGAGCTGTATAGACGATTAATAGGGAGATTGCACTACCTCACCACTACCAGGCCAGACTTAACATTTCCAATGCAGCAGTTGAGTCAATTCCAGAAAGAGCCTTACACGGAACACCTTCAAGCTGCGTACAGGGTGTTGAGGTACATTAAAGGTGCACCAGGACAGGGCATTTTCTTCAAAAGTGATTCCTCATTGAAGTTAACTGGTTACAGCGATTCGGATTGGGCTAGTTGTCCGGATTCTCGAAGATCAGTGAGTGGCTACTGTACCTTTCTTGGGAGCTCGTTGATTACCTGGAAAGCCAAGAAGCAAACTACGGTTTCCAGGTCATCGTCTGAAGCAGAATACAGAGCTTTAGCTCATTTAGTCTGTGAAATTCAGTGGTTGAAGGGATTGCTTGCAGAATTGAGCGTTCAAGTTCAGTTGCCGATTGCCGTGTTTTGTGATAACAAGTCGGCGATTCATATTGCCGAGAATCCAGTGTTCCACGAACGTACCAAACACATCGAGATTGATGTGCACGTTACGCGGGAAAGGGTGAAATCAGGGCTAATTAAACTGTCTTATGTGCGTTCTCTTGATCAGGTAGCGGACTTGTTTACCAAAACTCTCAGCAGGTTTCGCATTAAGGAACTATTGGACAAGCTAGGAGTTGAAAATCGATACACTCCAGCTTGTGGGGGACTATCAGAAGGAAAGGATCAAGATGCTGCTGAGTGTTCTGGTGATATGAAGAACTCAGGTTGATAATGAAGAACAGGGGAGTTTCTGAGCATCTACTTAAAAGGAAGAGAGAAACGTTTCTTACAAACGCTGTCGTTTATTATCTTTCTGTCATTGGTTACTTTAAGTATCAGTAGACGAATGTAATAGAGCCAGGTGTCGCAATTACTTTAAACTGGTTCTTAATTACTGTTACAACGGTATAAATGAGAAACCCAGGAAACTCAGATTTCTCTGAGGGTTTCCGATCCATTTCTGCCGAGCTCTATACTTTTCTACAGGGGAAGAAAGAAGAACAACAGAGGTTCGATCAGTGCTGCAATAACTGGAGAGGGCGGCCGGCTAGCGCCTTCTGTGAGTTTGGGATTGCGTTTTCGGGATGAAGGAGAAGGGAATTGGGAGACAAGAAAAAGGAAGGAGTAATCAGAGGGATGTATGGAAGCTAAACCAAGAGGGAATTATGTAGACAACTAGTAGAAAGATGGGTGAAGGCTGGTAAGCCTGGAGAATGGGGACTCATCCCGCCGACGGGAAGAAGAAAAAAAAACTTTTAGAATTGCTGGATCGATGGGCTGTTAAGCAAAAGCTCTGATACCATGAAAGTGCTCAGAAATCCTGAGTTGTGATTGTATTATTGATATGTATTTATACAATGAGGTTTCAACTAATAGCTATTCCTAAGGAAAGGTAATTCCCCACTAACATAAACTTAGGAACAGAAGAACATAAAAGTAACAGTCACTAACGAAGAGAGGGGAGAAGTGGTGAGGTAGTTGCCGAGTTTGTCTCTCCCTTATCAATTCTAACTTTAACAAAAGCACAAGGGAAATCAGACAAGAGCACAGTCATAGATACACACTTAATTACTTTTTCTCCCCTTTGCTTAGCATGTTGTTTTGGCCCCAGTGAAAAAGTTTCCCAGTCATCACTGACCTCTTTTGACACCACACATCTTCACCAAGGCCGGCCGACGTCTGAAATCCCCTTCATCCCCTCCAACTTGGTGCCGATTTGGCTGTAAAGTAGCTAGCTAGTGGTAAAGCAGAGGTTGAAAGTAACCCATGTTTTTGGTCATTTCCACTCTGCAGGCCCCTCCCACAGTCCCAGGAATGGTATTTGGACATCTATTTAAGACTCATCATTTCATAGCTGTTGTCTATTGTGTTTCATTCATTCGATTCTTGACATTGAAGCTCTGAGCCAGGAGGTGCAACTGTCCAGTGTAGATATTATTGCAGCATAGTTTTTCCATGAAGTTTCTGAGTACACAAAGCATGAGAAGAATCCCATTTTTGAGGTGGGGGAAGAGGATTCCGCGCTCCACATCAGCTGCTGCCATGGTATCCATTGTTGACAAGAAGGCAAAAGCTGCATTGGGTAGCTGCAGGAGTACTAATAGGTCTTATGTCCCTAAGCGATGGGTTTACAAGCTGAGGTCGCAGTGGAAGCGAGCAATCGGGTGGCAGAAGAGCAGCAGCAGTACTACTTCACAGTTCAGCTATGACATTCGTAGCTACGCTCTCAATTTCGATGAGGGTGGCTGCCTTGATCAGGTCCTTAGAAGCCACGTTTTGTAGAGGAAATGGTAGGAGCTTTGATCTCAATTCTTCTTCCATTTTCTTTGGCAATAAGACTGGTGATATTTTTGGAACCAGATCATTTGTATAGTATGCAAGCTTGTATGAATAGCAGCAGCTCCTGCTGGGCAAAGTCACTGGGAGTGCTGTAAGAGTTTATTATCTTCTATGGTTGTTCCCTTCTGTACAGTTTCTGTGTTGAATGCACTACACAAAAGATTTAATGCACAAGAAAACATGTCCTGCTTAAAGGTATTGCCAAATACTCCCAGTGCCAAGGAAGAATTTCAGTATTGTAGTCAACGGAGCTCCACCTAGATCTCTATTCCCAAAAATGGCTGCTCTAGTAATCCAATCCAGTTCATTTGATGCACTTTGCATTAAGGATGTTCAATTGTGTAGGAAGAGAGGGCCTCATAAGTCAAAAGGGAGCTGTAGAGGTGGTAATTGGATCAGATTCGTGGATTCGTGGATTGGATTGGTGGATCAATGGATATCCAATGGATTGGATCCAATGAATTGGTGGATTCATGGATTGGATCAAATGGATTGGTGGATTGATCCATGAATCCAAATGACATCCAAGGCTTGGACCAAAATGTAAAATTTGAGAAGTTTTGGTACTAAAATGTCATAATGAAAAATTTTAGGTACCAAATGTAATTTTCTAATGATATTTTTCGTATAAAAATATAAATTTTAGGTACCAAAATGTAAAATATAAAAATATAGGTACCAAATCGTAATTTGCCATTTGGATCAATGGATTGATCCATGAATCGACCAATCCAATAGGATTTGGATCAAATGAATTGGATTTAAATGGATTGAATTAGGTAAATAATTTGGTGGATAAATTGGATTGGATTCATGGATTTGGATCCTAATTGTCACCTCTAGGGAGCTGTAATGGCTCCTATTAAACGTAAAATGACCATATTAATTAGTTTGGAGTAGGAGGGGAATTTAATTGTCCCTCGAAGTACGAGGGGAGTACTGGAAACATGCATGGGGGCAGGAAAAGAAAGGTCATAAAATAAAAGAGAGGTTTCTGGATTTAGCTTTAGAGATACTCTAGGGAGAATTTGGTTAGCATGGAAAGATGAAATGTAATCGAGTATTTTGACTTCTGATGCCAATTTCGTTCATGCTCTAGTGTATCTATCACAACAAATGAGCAATTTTTCTCTATAGCTCATGTATTTGCTTGCAATGATATGAAGAAGGGAGGAGAGGAGCTACTTGCTCTAAGATTAATCGATGGATGGTGATGGGTTTTTCCTGGTTAGTTAGCGGTGATTTTAATGCTATTTTTAACCCAGTTGAACGCAAAGACAAGAGGAAACTAGTTTGACAACTAGAGGACTTGATTGGCGCTAGCTACAAAGAATATCGACTGCAAGGGATTCAACTTGGTCTATTCTTCCTCTATCGTAATCATATTTTTCTTTATATTGATCCGGTAACCTACATTATCCAAATTGTGTGGAACATCACATTGTTCCAAATATTCGGGACATAGTATGATTTGATTTCTATACTTTTTTTAATCTTCAGTTTCGTGTTTGATTATTCATTCTTTCTTATTTCAAATTGCCCAGCATGGAGTTGAATCTCGATTGAGAAATGAAATTTATTGCAAATTATGTTCGACTGTGAATGTCTTTGTCATGTATTGGAAGTTTGGTATAAGTTGTCACTCTCAACGGTCAATTTTCCCCCCTCTACAAGCCTGCTTGATCTCCATGAGCCATATAGAATGCATTTATAATTTTTCCTCCTTGACCCTTTCTCTATATAAGTTTATAGGGATTTCCTATGGTAACTTGAAGTAAGGTATCTTGAATTTTTTTTACCTACTATAGCAAGTTTCATAGGTCATATTACGTAAAATATATAGGCATTGCATAATGAGCATTAACCTCATGTTATGTAAAGTGCTAAGTCGTTACTAGACCTTTACGTAACACTTCTAATTCAATAAGAATTAAAATAAAGAAAGTGTAAAATAAGGAAGAACAGCTAAATATGTAAAAGGAAAGAAGAAAAAAACAAGAAAGGCAAATGCAAGGGTGATGACCGGCAACCCCTGTTCCCACTAAAATTTTGGGCATTGCTATTCGTTGCTTTGAAATTTAAATTTTTTCGCCCTAAATCATAATACATTGACATTTGTACCCCTATTTCCAATTTCAATATCTAACCCCTAAACCAGCGGAATTCGAACATCCACCGATAATCCAAGAATCGGTGGTGAGAGGGTCAGAGAAAGAGGCCTGAAGTTCGATCGGTCTCAATGTCTGCCACGAGATCGGAGAAGGAACTGTGGTTTTAACCGCGAGAAATGAGGAAAAAAATCCCAAGTTACACATGTTTTTAAAAAAAATTCTCAAAATACACACGTTATGAAAATAATTCCCAATCTACGCATGTTTGGGCCATCACCGCTGTCGACGAAGACAGTGATTGCATCACTGCAGTACACGGCCGCGGTGAAGACCTGACCTGCGTCGAAACTTTAAACAAACGTAACTTTGTGCTCGGTTATCCGATCGTAGCGAATTTTTTTTTTGATTCCGCATAATTTTTCGAGATCTTACAAGCCGCAAATTGCCGTAGGCGGTTTGGTCCCGCCTTCGTCTCGAAAATATGTCGTTTGCTACCCCGAACGAGCCTTTTTTCGATTTCGTCAAACTTTGAACGACCATAACTTTGTGCTCCACAATCCGAAAATCATGAATTTTTTTTTGATTTCGCATAACTTTTTAAGGACTACAATATAAGTGGTATTTCGGGAAATTTGGATATTATTGGCACAACCGTGAAAGTTTTGGATATACAAGTGTATTAAACCTAAATTTTATTGTTTTTATCAAATGAAAATCATTCGGGCTAGATTTTCTACGCTAAATTTATTGTAGTGGTTTGGATATGTTCATCTAAACCATTTTTCTAGTTACAAAAAATTCTATTATCAAATAACACTAAGTCGATTTTTAAATAGCACTGGGCCGAATATCTAAAATTGAATATTTTATAAGATCTATACTAGCTCTAGATCCGGAGGAGGGCTAGGCCGTGGTCCGAGTTGGCCCAGTCCTAGATCCGCCGCTGGCGCTGATACTGGCGCTGATATGGATGCACAGAAGCGCCGACTTTCTCAAAGAGGATAGAGAAATAAAAGAAAGAAGCAGGAAAGAGGAATTATGTTTAGGGTTTATTTATTTCTCTCTTAATCGAACATGGTCCAAGAAATTCAAAACAAATCGTTATGGTTTGAATCGGCCATATTTAGTGACGGTACAAGTGATGTACCAGCACCCTAGAATTCCCCACAAGTTAATTAACTAACTTGAAAATATACCCCAAGTTATTGTAGGAGATCCGAACTTCATATTTTAGCTATACGAGTTTTATTTGCCGCCAAAAACCTAGTCGGTAGCACTTCCATATATGTAAACCTTATGCATATGAACATTCTCGAAAGCACTTTGCCAATGCAATGTTTGGATATTGTGGCCCCCTTAGGATAACAGATCTTTCATTCTTTTCGGTCAAGAAGACATGGATGAGCAAACCTAATCCAACCTTTTCTCTCAACTTTTGCCTTTCAAACTTTAAGCAATGCGCATGGGAGATGACACAAGAGGATACACACTAATTACTTTCCTCCTCCCTTTTGCGTAGCATGTATGTTGTTTTGGCCCCAGTGAAAAAGTTTCCCAGTCATCACTGGCCTCTTTTGACACCACACAACTTCACTAAGGCCGGCCGACGTCTGAAATCCCCTCTTTTTGTCACCAAACATTGGGGCCAATTTGATTTGACTGTAAAAGAAGCTAGTGGGTAAAGCAAAGGTTGAAACTTGAAAGTAACCCATGTTCTGTAATTTTGGCCCCTGCCTCTAGTGATGTTTGGAGATCTATTTAAGACTCATCATTTCATACTTGTTGGTACCAATAAGAAAGTTACAACTTCTAGCTCCATCTAACAACCCTCCCTTTCTCTCTCTCTATCTCAATTCATTTGATTCCTCAACTTGCAGCATAGTTTTGCCATGAAGTTCCTGAATACACAAAGCATGAGAAGAAGCCAGTTCTTGAGGTGGGGGAAGAGGATTCCGAGCTCCACGTCAGCTGCTGCCATGGTATCCATTGTTGACAAGAAGGCAAAAGTTGCATTGGGTAGCTGCAGGAGTACTAATAGGTGTTATGTCCCTAAGCGATGGGTTTACAAGCTGAGGTCGCAGTGGAAGAGAGCAATCGGGTGGCACAAGAGCAGCAGCAGTACTACTTCACAGTTCAGCTATGACATCCGTAGCTACGCTCTCAATTTCGATGACGGTGGCTGCCTTGATCATGTTCTTAGAAGCCACGTTTTGTAGAGGAAATGTTAGGAGCTTTGATCTCAATTTTTCTTCCCTTTTCTATGTACATAAGACTGTCGATATTCTTGGCACCAGAAAGTATGTATATTATGTAAGCAGCGCCTGCTGGCTGCTGCGCATAGTCACCGACAAGCCTGTGAAAGTTTATTATCTTCTATGGCTGCTCCCTTCAGTACAGTTTCTGCATTGAAACCCTTTAATTTTCTATTGGGATATTGATGTTACTAGTTCTTTTTACGGCCAAAGGAATTTATGTAACTACACATTTCCTATGTATTACTGGTCACCATCTACTCTTTCTATCTTTCTTGCTCGACTTCCAGAATCTTAGGAATACATATACATGTGTCTCTAATGAATATAGTTTGAGAAAAACAATTTTGTCTGTATTTGAGCTTTTAGGTACGAATTTTACAATGTTTTAAAGTATTAGTGCTTTAGTTTTTTTTCTTTATGGTACAACTTGAAATTGTACCGTTATGGTACAACTTTAGATTGTATCTATAATCTATGGTACAACTTTAGATTGTATCTATAATCTTTTGTAAAATCTCTTTATGGTATAAACTAAAGTTGTACATTTAAGTTATGATACAACTTGAAGAGTTGAAGTTGTACCACAAAATAAAAGTCAAATTCTCTTATGGTACAACTCTAACTTGTACCTTTAACATTATGACACAATTTCGTGTTGTACTTTAAAGCACCAATATTTTAAAGTATAGCAGAAGTGCTCATTCTTATATCAATGCTCAATGGAATTACTATTTTTATTATAACGATGATAATACTTTGACACAAGAAAATTGTAAATTGTAAAAAGGACGAGCTAGACTCCAAATGAAAGCTTCTTAAATTCACTCATCGGGATTCCCTACTGTAACTTGGGTATAATTTTAAGTTAGTTAATTTGAATAAATCTGAACCATTAAAATGTATCCTAAGCACTTTAAACCATTGATTAAAAAGAAAAAAAATAAACGAAAAATAGGAAATAACTTGCAACTGGCGGTGCCGGGTTTCTTGCGTTCTCCACGACCCTGTTCATTGTTCCCGCCAGCATCAACATTGTCCTGATCTCGCTCATGGCGTGCCTGAAATGCCGCGACATCCACCTGGGGTCTCCTGTTTGCGGCAATTTGCTTGTGCTGCTCTTCAGTGGCCGCAAGACGATACGCTTCAGCACTGGTAGGGGTAGGCTTCATGGATAGTACTTGCATCTTAACCGTTGAAAAGGCATCGCCTAGGCCCATTAAAAAATCAAAAAAACGTTCACTTTCTAGGTTAGTCACAACCTTTTCCCCAACATCGCAGGTGCACAGCCCGCACGTGCAACGAGGATTCGGAGTGATCGTTTGCATTTTTCCCAAAGCGCACGAAGCTTGGTATAAAAAGTGGACACACTAAGCTTCTCCTGCCGGAGTGCAGCCACTTCCTGTCGAAGTTCATATGCGCGTGCTGCTGTCCCAGTTCCGAATCGAGACTCTAGATCCAATCAAATCTCCCGAGTTATTGGGACGAACTGGTTTATGACATGTTGAATGACTGATTCTTATGGTGTACTCCTATCGCGATGAATTAAACATGTCCTGCTGCTTGTCAATCACATTGGAAAGTTATACCTTTTATAATTTGATTGTTATCATTAGACCACACATTACGAAAAATGTGTGTAAACCATTCTATAAAAGTTATATAAAATATAAATATATTACTCAAAATTTTTTGAAATAATAATAATTTCTTATATATCAATTAAACAAACGTATTATATAAGTTTTACCATCGGGAAGCACGGATCATAAACTAGTTCTTCTTTATAGTTGTATACTTGTATATGCTTCCAATGACGAAGGGGAGAGATGAGCTACTTATTCTAGGATTAGTCGATGGATGGTGAGGGGTTTTCCTGGTTAGTTAGTGATGATTTTAATCCTACTCTTAACCTAGTTGAAGACAAAGACAAGAGGAAACTAGTTCGACACCTTGATGACTTGATTGGCGATAGAAGAATATTCAACTTGGTCTATTCTTTCCCTATTTTAATCATGTTTTTTCTTCTTCATATTGATTTGGTACAGTACATTATTCAAATTTTGTGAAACAGTGGATTGTTCCAAAGATCGGAACATAATATGATTTGATTTCTATACTTTTATTTGTATAAGGTGAGATATGTTGTGCCAACTATCATGAATCTTCACTTTTCGTGTTTGATTATTCATTCATTCTGATTCTGAACTACGTAACATAGAGTTGAATTTCGATCAATAAATGAAATAGACTAGAAACCATGTTCTATTGGGTAGGGGTGGCTATACGGTCCGGGCCGGTTAAATTGGACCAAATTGATCCGGTCCCAGTCTGGTCTTTTCAAGAATATAAGGACCAAAGATTGGATTGGATACACTCCGGTCTTGACCCGGTCCGGGCCCAATTTGATTTTGATTTTAGATTGAGCTTGTGGGGATTTGAGTATTGGGGTCTCTTATCCGGTCTTTATCCGGATTTTTTTACCTCAAATCTAAGCCCGAATATGAGATTGGATTGTTTGCTATCCGGTTCCAATCCGGTCCCGGTCCGAGTTATACGATTCGGTTTCAGATAAAACCAAACAATCCTAGACCAAATTGTCAGCCCTACTATTGGGAATAACTTTTGTCATGTATTGAAGTTTGGTATAAGTTGAACTCTCAATGGTCAATCTTTCCCCTACTTGCCTGCTTGATCTCCATGAGCCATATAGAATGCTTTTGTAATTTTTCCGCCTTGGCCCTTTCTCTATATAAGTTCATATTTTAGCTATGCAAGTTCTGTTTGCCGCCAGGAACCTAGTCTGTAGCACTTCCATACATGTAAACCTTATGCATATGAACATTCTCGAAAGCACTTTGCCAATGCAATGTTTGGATATTGTGGCCCCCGTTAGGATAACAGATCTTTCATTCTTTTTGGTCAAGACGATGGATGACCCAACCAAATCCAACCTCTTTTGAACTTTTGCCTTTCAAACTTTAAGTAATGCGCATGGGAGATGACACAAGAGGATATACACTAATTACTTTCCTCCCTTTTCCCAGTCATCACAGACCTCTTTTGACACTACACAACTTCGCCAAGGCCGGCCGACGTCTGAAATCCCCTCTTTTTGTCACCAAACATCTGGGCCAATTTGGTTTGACTGCAAAAGTAGCTAGTGGGTAAAGCAAAGGTTGAAACTTGAGAAAGTAAGTAACCCATGTTCTGTAATTTTGGCCCCTGCCTCTAGTTGATGTTTGGAGATCTATTTAAGACTCATCATTTCATAGTTGTTGGTACCAATAAGAAAGTTACAACTTCTAGCTCCATCTAACAACCTTCCCTTTCTCTCTCTCTATCTCAATTCATTTGATTCCACAAATTGCAGCATAGTTTTGACATGAAGTTCCTGAATACACAAAGCATGAAAAGAATCCCATTTTTGAGGTGGGGGGAGAGGATTCCGCGCTCCACATCAGCTGCTGCCATGGTATCCATTGTTGACAAGAAGGCAAAAGTGCCATTGGGTAGTTGCAGGAGTACTAATAGGTGTTATGTCCCTAAGCGATGGGTTTACAAGCTGAGGTCGCAGTGGAAGAGAGCGATCGGGTGGCACAAGAGCAGCAGCAGTACTACTTCACAGTTCAGCTATGACATCCGTAGTTACGCTCTCAACTTCGATGACGATGGCTGCCTTGATCAGGTCCTTAGAAGCCGCGTTTTGTAGAGGAAATGTTAGAAGCTTTGATCTCAATTCTATGTCCATAAGACTTTGACGCAAGAAAATTGTAAATCGTAAAAAGGACGGAACTCTAATTGAAAGCTTCTCGTTCATTCATATATAATAGAAAATGGTACTAACTCAGTGAATCTATCAAGAAGGGCAAAGAGAAATCAATACAACTTGGAAAAGAGCTTACGAATCCTATATCAATAAATTGTTGGAATTAGTACTATCAACTTTTAACATTGTCCTGAACTGTGAACATAACTTGTTGCCTTCACTTACGCAACCAATTGAAGCAGTACTGTTGCCACCCATTACTGCTGCTTGACGACGCCTGATCGTCTTTCTCGCCAATTTCTTGAAAATGTGAAGAAATCGATCGAGCTCCCACAGAGTCTCTGTATCAAGAGTGTCAAGGTCGAGCACAATCACATCTCCATCTTGCCTCAAATGGCAATTCCTCTTCTTTGCTATTTGCACAACCTGCTCCAGCTTCTGCTGCGGCAAAGTCTCCAATCCTACTCCTAGTTTATACGTCTCCTCCAGGCTCATCTTCCTCTTATCATGATGATTTGCCTTGGGCTTTGAACGCTTTACCCGTGATGGCATCCTCATGGCAATAATAAGAAGTTGTTTGAGGGGAAGAAGAGCAGTCGCTGATTAATTTGCCGAATCGGAAGATACGAATTGATTGCCTAATGGTAACGTATTTATAGGGAGTAATCCTAAACCTATTCGGCTATTTTTACTTGCCGCCTACTCTAAGATCAAACAATCCTAATTATAATTAGCATCTAACCCACGTGTACTGACCAATTATAATCCAACAATGACAATGATAATGATAATAATAGTAGGGAAAGAATACACGTAACAATGGGTTTGGTTGATCCTGCTTCACCAATGGAGTGAAAATGATGGTTTTCTTTCAAGATTTTTCTATTTTCTTGAGTGGTACTGTGGTAGAATGTGCAAGCAGATTTTAGGATCTAATTAATACTAGCTTATTGACCCGCACTTCGTGGCGGGATGATCTTATTATAATATAGTTGAATTGATATAGCTAGGTTGGAATTTAATTTGAATAAGTTCGTGTTTTGTTTATGTCTTGACCGAGCCTTTATTTATCTTCCTTGAATGATGTAAAGGCTAAATAGTTTTTGTTTGTTTGTTTCTTAAAAAAATTAGTTTCTGTTAAAACCATTTTAGTGTAATGATTGGAATTTTTGGAAGATATTAAATGTGGATATATATAATTTTTTTTCCTAATGAAATTTGACTCATCTATTGAAATTTTAGACAGGTACTTCATACAATGTGTTTAAAGGGATAGTTGGTACTAAGAATTTACCGAATTATAAACATATGTACAATCAATAATCCTTTTGTGATAGAAAACTTACTCTATAAATTGTTCTGAGTAATATTTGTAATATCTCTCGCTAATATTTTATTTAAATTTTAGAGAATTCCTATCACACTTTCAAGTGATTATAATGAGTGAAACTTAAACTTTTTGACTCAATATAGCGTGTTTCCTTGGTCCATTGCATATAATGTAAAGTTCATTACATAATATTTACGTAACTCGTATTTACCTAAATAGTTGCAGAATTACATTGCATAAATCTTATGTAATAGGTGTTTTATTTACATAATTAGAATTTACTTTGAGTTAAAAAAACGAAAAGTTGTTCTTCATAAAAAAAAGTGATAAGTTGTTCTTCATTAAAAAAGGGTAATGACCATTTATTAGCCAAATTTTTTTCGGATTATTTTTATTAGCCAAACCTATCAAAATATTAAAAATTAGCCAAACGTTTTGTAATGCATCAAAATATTAGTCATCTTTATGTAATCGTTTATAATTTTGTAACTCTTTTCTAAGTTAAAATACTAAAATTTTGGAATGTTAACCTCTATGTATATCTTCCAAGTAAGTATCATGTTGCCAAGTCAATAAAACTAACAAAATTGCTAACTGAAAATTAATATTTTACTAATTATCAGTAATTCAATAGGTTTGACTAATAAAAAAGAATGTGAAAAAGATTTGGCTAATAAATAGTCATTACCTTTAAAAAAGTGAAAAGATGTAACTGAAGACTAACATAACACATTTGTTCAAATCTTACATAAGAAATAACTGCAGTTACATAATCTTCACCAAACGTATTTATGTTGCATAATAGTTGTAAAATGGTGTTATGTAATGCTCACAAAATATGTAGTGTTTTGTTTAGATATGATACAGATATTAGCTCAGTGTCATTCAAATATTAAGTCGTTATGAAAATTGTAGGTAACATATCCAACTTTACTTATGAATTCATTTTGACATGCAATGTGATTACATAAAGTGCAAAGTTTTTGTTGAAGTCTTACATAACACATTTTTCAACTCTTTCTTGTATAATAGTTTAGTAGATATTGTTATGTAAGGCATTCATAGTGTAGTGATAAAATTATACATAATTGGGTGTTAATAATCATTACATGTAATTTGGCTAGGAACCTCCTGTATCAATTCACAATTTGATGTGAATGTCGTGGTTGTAAGCTTGATCTTTACTTTGATGTCATTAACTTAAGACTAATGGATATTCCTTTTACTAACTCTGAAATGTGTATGCATTCTAGAAATTCAGTCACTTATCAATTCAACGGGTCATTGCCTAGGAAGATTTAGATTGCTTACTAATTTAAGATAATTGTGTATATAAGATTAACTTGAGGAGGTCTAACCCGCTTTAGTTGAGGAGTCAGACTTCGATATATTTAAGTATATCTTGCTAATTAGTAATTTATAATTATGTAGATTTTCCTCATTAAAGGTATTGTGTAACGTTCTCGAAGTGATAGTTACTTCTGAAGTAATGTTCAACAAACCTGCTAGTTAAGGCCTTAAAAATGATACCAACTTTCGAAATTACACAATGGTTTATATAGTTCCAAATTTGAATTGCTTAAGTAGCACCTAACTAAGAAAATCAACATATATCATCCTTATAAAAGAACTATTATATAAAAAGATCACACCATACAACTAAACTAACACATAATATCTGGTAACATTGCATTGCAACAGGTAAACTTCCAATCTGTTCCAACTCTCCACTTCCCAAAACTTGAGGCACCCAATGTCATCACTGAGTTGGAACATGAAAATTAAAGGGGGAACACAGAAAAAGGGGAACACAGAAAAACCCCATGAAAATTGAAAAGGGTTGGGAAACTGGGCTTGGGCATGCATCCGCAAAGTCTGTGTTATGGGTGCTGTCACAGCGGAATATAACCCTGTGAACAGTAACCCGGAATTAAAGGTGATTGCTAAAAAATCGTAAGGAACAGTAACAATTACTTGAGACTTAATATAATTGATAATTGATAATGTCTTAAGCTAAATGCCATATCTAGTTAGGGTTTTCTCAGGCTAGGACTAAGTCAACGTATTATTTCCTACAAACTATTTGTTTTTTTTTTTCTTCCTATTTTCATTGGTGATGGTGGCTTTCTGAGTTCAAATGATCGAGTAAATCATTAAGAGTTAGTCATTCAAAAAGAATTAGGATAAATTGCAAGTTTGGTCACTAGAATTACTTGTAAAGTTCACGTTTACCACTAAATTGCAAGTTTGCTAGCTTCCTCCAATCCATCAGCTCTCTAGCAACATATCTAGGTGGAAAACTAACTTTTCTGGCATTGATGGTTGAGAACCACCGCGTCTGCATTTCGATGCTATAACTTGCGCTTTTCGTCGTTGTAGATATAAGATTGGATCTATTGCTTGGTTCCTCCAGATGGAAAGATACTTGGAGCTAATGACAATGACGGGCACAAAACCTTCTAATCATGGAGATCCCGCTACAATCCAATCCACGAACGAGTCGCTCGTTTGTCCCAATAAGAGAAAGACCCTTTACTTGATTAACATGTTGTGTACGCTACTGAAAGATGTAAACTTTGTCGGGGTCTATGGTGGATTGGGTCAATTTCGTTGTCAATTCCTGCTTCAAATAGCTACAATGTCAAGTCCAGTTCTGTCAATTCCTGGTGGCCTCCATAGAGAAAGCTAAGCCCAGTTCACAATTCAGCCCTCCTCCTCCGCCTCCCCCACCACCGGCCGCGCCCTTGATTCCGCCTCAACTGCCACCGACAGTACCCAAGCAGTCGCCACCTCCTCCACCACCTCTCTAGAATAGGACTCTGGCGCCTCCTCCGCCCAGGGGCGGATACATGGGCCTCTAGGGGTGTCCCGGGACACCCCTAAAATTTGGGGAAACGATTATCCAACCTCCGATAATAGTTTCGTATGGGTATACAAAATATAATTGGTAATCCGGGACACCCTAACATTTGAAAAAATAATTATCCTACCCTCGATAATAGTTTGCTTATGATTAACAAAATATAAGTGGTAGTCCGTGTTATTCCAACCTAGGACATTACTATTATCAAACTTATTCTAATTATGTTGCTACTCATTTGTTATTCTATTTTAAACATCATGCAACAGTAAAACGCTATTTCTTTATCCCCAACTATTTTCAATACCTAATAATTGAACTACATACACACTACCCTTAATTTTGAATTGATTTTATGGTTACATGGCAAGTGTTGAAAGAGTCTTTTCTACTTCGAGCTACATTAAGAACAAGGTTAGAAATCGAATATGTGATAAGTTCGTGAAGTATTGTCTAGTAGGATATGTAGATTTTTTTTTAACAGTGCAGACACGGAGTTTATTTATATTATTTTTTCAAAATATGAAAACCCATCGTGAATTTTAATAAAAAATTTATACAAGTATGATATTTTTAATATACGAATTATTTAATTAAATTTAATTTTTAAGAGGACACCCCTATGAAAATTTTCTGAATCCGCCACTGCCTCCGCCAGCTCCTTTGAGGAAACGAAACGCCCCGCCACCGTCACCGCCTCTCCCGGCCAAAGTCGGTTCTGCCAGTAGACAAACCCTTATCAAAGAATCAGGCTTCCTTTGGTAGCGGCTTGAACATCCTTGGAATATTTTTTTTTTAATTTTTTATAATAATTAGGTGGAAAATAAAAAGTATATTGTTTTTTTAATTGCTACGTCACTCATTTAACGATCAACTTTGAGAGTTGACCGCCATATCAGCAAAAGTTAACGGAGACTAACAGCCAGTTACCAAACTTGGACCGTTAACCTAATTTAACCGAAACTTGCTCCTAAGTCTCCAATCACGTTCTAGTACCTGAAACATCACATATATGCACAACCTAGCATAAAATCGGCTTCAAATGCAAGAAATCGATCCTAAACAACCATGAAATGGGAAAAATAAATGTGTGCAAATACCATGTTATCAAATTCCCCACACTTAAACGTTTGTTTGTGCCCAAGCAAACCAAGTCAGACACAAGGTATGCTCAAAATATTTTTCATGAACGATTTTGGGGACATTTCATATAGGCACAAAACACGTGAATCATACTGGCTAATAGGCATCAACACATGATCAACAACAACAACACTTTGGACAACCACCACAGATGACATTCGGGTGCGGCAAAATGGGGTAAAGGAAGAGTCTCCCCTCTGTTCACCGACCAACATAGACTCGATT